TTCGGCAGCGAACATTCGGACGCCGAATCGATTTCTTGTGAATCTCATCTCTGACGATCCAGAGCCATACTTGGTGGAGAAGAAGAAACAGCGGACAAGAATCTGGCTCAGTTCTGGTATGCCCGATTGCCTACCAGAGGAATCGATTACTTCAAGTTTTATTTTCATGTCCACTCCTCAAATCCACCTTAAAACCAAAGGATCGGAAAACCAGCAATAATAGCTGGGTTGGCACAGTATACACTTACTGATTAGACTGTTCCTGTGAGTGCTGGTGGTTATGTTCATGCTACGGAGTTCGGCTGCTCGAGTCGTTGAATCCCTACGAGCTTACTCTGAAGGTGTTTAGTTCAAATTCTGCAATTCATATATGTTGTGACTTGTGCCTGGCATTTCGAAATATTGTTTTTCAATTCAATCTATCGGTTCAAGTTTTAGGGTCGTTAAATGAATTTTTGGATCGTAGATGGAGTGAAGAACTTGTCCCCATCTGAACTGGGGGCATCGGATTAGTCTTACAAGTCAGAGGCACAACATTCTGTTTTTCAATTCAATCTGAATCTACTGAAGGTACCCAAATCTGGACGCGAGAGGTACTCTATACTTTGTGAAAATTTACAAGAGCAGAGCGAGGAACTGAACTGTTATTTTATTCACTTCATGAATTACATTGTTGAAACACCTTCATGGTATGTTTGGCTTCAAATAATTATCTTTAAATAGCACTTGGTTTGATTATAACAGTGAACCTCCATGATCGATATATCGTTAGTTGATCTCGGCAAGTTTTCTTCAAGTTTACGAACTTGAACACTACAGGTAGTTATTTAGTTTTATAAACAATGCTTAGCATTCCAATATCCGGGTGCCATTGATGAAGCTATATATTCATTCATTCATTGGTTTGGTTCGTTCGTTTGTCTGTTGATTCATATTACTGCTTAAATAAATTTCAAAATCTACATATCTCTTTGCAAAACATTGGAGGTATGGTCATATTGCACCTTCATCAAGATTGAATTGTTTGTTCTTTTAAGTTTAAATTACTGCTTAAATAAGTTTCAAAACCACACATGTTCTTTCTATTATACTCCTAAGCGGTCTTGAAATCAATGCCCTACGGTAGTTAATGTGTTTTTCGTGCTCGACTGGTATTAATCTTATTTTTAGTTAGTGCAGCTCGAGCTCTTCTTTGGAACATTTAAATAGAAAGGAACCGTCACACTTTTGAAGATAAATCTTTCACTTTTGATATTCCTACATTTTTAGGAATGTTCAGCACACCTCTTATGGGCGATGTCTAAATTACGAGAAATTCTTTTATAACTACAGCATCTTCATACTTATGCATGATTAGAAAGCCATCCTTTGGTTGCTTTTGGCGGGGTTCCCTCTGCCCGTAGCGCTTAGGTTGTCGGTGCTTAGTTGTTTATATACACGTCTCAGATTTCTTATTAAAAAAGGTATTAATCCTCTTTATAACCGGAAGGAAAACTTGACGGCACGCATGGCTCTTCCTTATTTAATCTCTTTCTGTCATGATGTATGTGAAAAATGATGCAGTTGCTTGGATGCGTGACATAAAGTTCATAGTTTATGGGGTGAAATATTATTACAGAGTGCATATCAGGTAATTTCACTTGAAATACAACAGCCATACTTTTTCTTCTTTTCTTCAATCCTAGAATGAATACCATTACCATTTTTAAATTGTAAGGTGTCGTTTGAGGGATGATTATAAATTATACTCTCACGTTTGTATACATTGTGCAGTCATCCCATGATATATTGCTGCTTGCTGATGTATACAGTTATCTTAGTTGCAGAACTAGTTTCTTGTTTGTAACTGTATAGGAAGCAATTTGGATGGAACCAGATGCTTTGGTAGCGACATCAGTTAGTCCTTTTATAGTTACGGTCACCGTTGATCGGAGCTTTGGTTGTTCAAGGTTTGCCTCCACACTTCTCTAGCTGAGTCATGTACTTCACTGTTAAGTTTCAGATGTGGATTTTGTTCTGTTTTCCTTTTTCCGATCGATTCGGCCATTGTTGATCATTGATATCGAATGCCATTGTTGAACCCGAGTAGTAATTTGCTAGCAGACGTGAGTGCTAATAATACTCTCTCTCCCATTGCATTGCAGAAATGCTGACAACGTTGACAACTATTTGGTGAATGTGAAAGGGACAGGGAGGTTTGTGATCTTGGTTTTGATCTGTATTAAACTTTTTTCTCTTGGTTTTTCCATGAGATTCAAGATAATGTTCTAATGTTCTTTTTATAGGGCGTCTCTCTGCCAAAATATTTCCGTCTATCATTATTTTATTGTTTTATTGCGATTTAAATCATACATTACTTTTGGTCCCTATACTTTCACTTCCTTCAATTTTAGTCTGTAACGACTTAATCCTTGCACTTTCAAATCGATGACAATTTAGTCCACGCTCATAAAAAATCTCATTAAACACCATAAAAGTAATGAAAATTTTGATTGTCATAAGCAGGGTCTAAGTGACCAACACAAGCATAACTAAGTGGTAATTGACACCTGCTCTCCCAATTTGTTGTACTAAAAAAGGGCTTACGGGTTAATTATTTTTATGTCTTTGAAAGTACATAGACTAAATCATTAGGAACTAAATGTTATTTAAATGAAATTAAGGGACAAAAAATATTTTTCAACCTACATTATACTGTAACTACTGGCCTTCTCGGACAAATCATTTATCATATACGGATGTAGATTTGTCTATGGGAGTAGCATTATAGTAGATTCAAATCCCATGTTCATTCATAAATGGCAGCCATTACATGGTCCAATCAAAAGTTAATATGCAAGTTTAGCAAATTCGAGCTGTTTTTACATTAGAATAGTGAGCGGTAAAGCTGCCGTTTTCAGATGACTTCATGTTTATCTGGCAATTCCTTTGTCTGTATATTTCTCTCTTGATGGCGTCTGTTTGTCTTCCTTGAACTTCTTCTTAATTTCTATATGCTATTTCGCACACTAGATTGATTCAGAGATGCAAGGAATTATAATTGGAACTCGAAGTTGTTTTCGTTTCATTTTTAGAAACATTTTCAAAATTACGTAGAAATTTTAGAAACATCAAAATCAATGACTTATTTTAGAATGTTTTCGTTTCTTTCTAATTTTATTAATAACTCTAAACATCTAACAATTATTTATGTTTATCGTTTTTTAGAAATATTCTCAAAACTTTTGCATATAATAAAAACAAGTTTATTGTTTGTTCTCGTTACCAATTCTATTTTCTTTCTAAAAAAATGAGGAAATATAAATAAGAAACAACGTTAGCAAACGAATCTCAAATAATTATTTTAAGTACTTTCGAAGAGAAAAAATAAATTTAACCAATTATTGGTTAAATTAATCCTATACATGTGACCCGATGGAGGAAAAGAATTGCAATAGCTAAATGAGCATTCGGAGGATAAAACTGATAATTCATATGGGGCCAATAAACCGACCCAAACATTTCACCTCAAACAAAAAAATCAATCTAGAGCAATTTTATCACACTAGCATGTGAAGTGTGATGTACATGCACTCATTTCAAGGGCGATGATAAAATTTGAATTTGCACTACTACAAATTGGTTCGGTTTTAAAAGTTCTAATATATTTCCATATGATTTGGAATTAGTTTCAAAAGTTTAAATTTGGTTCTCATGATTCGATGAAACTTCACAAATCATGATCATATTTATAATTTTTTCATGCTAGATTTCTATTTGGGTAACTATGTTAGTCGAGCGTATTAATGTTTAGGGTTGAGTAAAAAAATGTGAGGTTTTCAAGTAGATAAAAATAGGGCTTTAAATGCAATGTCAATGTAAATGTCGAGGTCTCAATTTCATATAAATGTGTCGACAAAAATATCTATAAAATGTCGATTTTTTAGAAATTAAATTCACAAAAACTATTTAAATTGACAAATAAAAATTTCATCATTGGTAAACAAGTTAAAAATAATTAATATTAATATTCGAACTCGCAATCTCATGGTTGGAGGTATATGTCAATTACCGTTAAGTTATACTCGTTTTGGCATATTACGTCTATAGTAATTGATATTATTCATATTTTGTCTATTTTTTATTTTTTTTAATAGAATTGAAATGTTATTTGTCTAATACTATGGATAAAACATAATTTATAAATGACCCTTGAAGTTCATCCTTGGAATCAATAAACCATAATCTCTTTGTCATAGATCGGTGTCACTCTTGGTCATAGATGTCAATTACCACTTAATTAAGTTAATAATAATGTTAATCAAAGTATTGTTAAAAACTTACCACTCTATTTTCCATTTATTTACTTTTTTCACCAAGCAAAATGACAAATTGTTTTTTCTTCCCTTATGGTGAGAATTGTTGTTGGAAATGTAGATTTCGAGTGGGATATTTTTTACATTCACGCCTATTTAATACAATAATGAAATCTAAATACATGTTTGAGTTTTTTTTTCTTTGAATATTTAAAACTTTCAATTTGGACCATTAATTTTATTATTATTTTTAACTTAATATCCCATCAAATTAGATAGATGATAAATTTATACCATGAAATTAAAATTAATTTAAAACATAAGAGATTAAATTGGAAATTTTAAAATAATAGAGACTAAATTGAAAAAAATTTACCATGAATAATGATTTATTATATTTTTTTTATTTTTGATTTTATTGTTTTTTGTTTCCTTAAAAAGTTGTAAAAATCAAAATTTTGATCCTCTATATTCACATTTACTGTACTTACACAAAATTCAATTTTAAATTGATAGGTGAGATCAGTCAAAATTATGGATTATTTACTTTATTCATCTTTAAATTTTTGGTAGACAATAAGGATATTTTAACCAAATATTTGTGTACCCATCTGAATAGTAGTTGAACTTGCATATATTAGTAAGGTAAGTTAATTTTGTTGAGGATAAAATACTATTTTAATCCATCTATTTTTATTTATAATTACAATTTATTACGGTCATTCTACCTTCAAAATATTCATTTTAGTTTTTAAACATTTATAAACATATAATTGTTAAGACAAATTAGATTGCCTACTTTTAAAAAATAATAAAATATAAGAAAAAAAATATTGAAGTAAAATTACCATGTAAAAGTAACGTGGGTCAAACTATTTGGGTCAGGTCAATCAGGTCGGGCCGAACTAACCAAACCAATGCGAACAATTCGTGTCGATTAAATCAAACCAACTCAATGAAGCTATCTCCACAAGTAGAAGGAGAAATCTCTTAAATTAAATTTTTATAATCCTCCTATTTAATACCCTGAATTTAACTCATAGACATGAAAATGACGAATGTATTATCACTTCCCAGAAAAAATATCACTTTCAAATTTCTAACTCAAAATTTTAACCATTAAAAAAAAATCAGAATAATACAATAACTGGTAAAAAAAAAGTGATTAAATCTACAAGAGTGGAAAATAATAGGTTGCATGCAAAAGGAGTAAAAACGGCGGCGCTTTATAATGGAAAAATTTAGTGACAGATGTGGAACACGGGCACCGCCTTTGGTAAATTCAAGAAAAATCAGAAATTTGCCCTAACTGCAATTTCAACAAAATTCAGGCCCTTTTTTCGAAAATGCACCCTATAAAATCACCTCTTTCTTCTTCCCCTCTTCCATTACATTATCGTCTCCTCGGTTTTGCCCTACACTATCCCTTCCCCTCTCTGTTAACGTATAATCCACCGATTTTTCTTCCATTTTTATCACAGAACTGAGCGAAATCCTCAATTTTCATCCATCTAGTAGTTTTATTTGTTACCCTCCACCTTCTTTTGTGCAGAGCCCGAAACCCTAATTTTCTGTTCGCTCCCCCTCGAATCTGTCGCAAATCTTTGATCCGTCAATCGAGAAAATTTTGCATCGGTTTTGTTTTCGTTGTTGTCGAGAATTCGTTGGCGATTTATTGTTTTATACTTTTCTATAAATCCTCGTCGGACCTAATTGGGCGTTGTCTGATTTAATTTCGCTGCCCGGAGATTCGGTGTTCGCCAATAAAATTCTAGGTTGAATTCCTGAAGCGCGAGGAATTTTAGAAATCCGACCTCTGTTCTTACGATTTCTTTGTTTTTGCGTCGCCTTTGGTTGATCTGTTTTTTTTTTTTTGAAAATGGTCGGCGGTGGAAGCAGGAGGGACGAGGGTTCTTTGGTTATCAATAACACCAATGTTTTTGCAGCCCTCGAGACTCTGAGGAAGAAGAAGAAGTCCGACAAGGAACGCAAGAATAAAGGGTCCTCCAAGTCCCAGTCCGCCCAGCCTAAGGAACCTGAACCTCAGGTTTTTTGGGCACCAGCTCCATTGACTTCGAAATCATGGGCTGATGTTGATGATGAAGATGATGACGATTACTACGCCACCACCACCCCGCCCCAGGCTGTGTGGGGCTCCTCCGAGGCTCAGGAGAGCAAGGAGAAGCCGGGCAATGTAGAGGTGGATAATCACTTTATCTCGTTTACCATGCTGAATCTTGTTAACCTTATTCGCTTCCAAGTTTATCTTCGTTTTTCGGCAAGTTTATTGGGTGAAGATGACTAAATTCTACTTTTTTTTTAATGTTCATGAGAATGACCCACGGGATTATATTTAAACCATCATCTAGTTGTTATGTGTTTGGTTTCGAGCCAACGATTTGGACTGGAAGGAAAGAGCTTAATTTCAGTCACTTAAATATCCATTGCTGTTCATCCGATGTTTATGTGCATGCTGAAATTGATGGAGTAGGTGGGCTTTCTGTAATATGAATTGTCGTGTATAATATTTCATGTAGTTATGTTGTTATCGATGGATAATGGCGTAACAGAGTAGCTTTATAGTGGCTGTCATGGTTTGATAGCAATGTTTATGTAAGTTGACCATTGAAAGTTTGGTACAAAGATGATAGTGCTCAGAGATGCAAGGGACAGTCGTAGCAATGTTGGTACATGCTATCTTGTTGAATAAAACGTGTGAGCAATGTGCTTTTAGGTATGCCCCATTAATATTTTTTATTCACCGATGCGGAAATCCTGCTGAGTATGGCTGTCTGGTTGCAGGAGAGTGAGAGTGACGATGACATCCTTGATGAAGTTGATTATGATCTCGAGGATGAGCATGATCATGATCATGAGCATGAGCATGAACCAGAGGTTCCGGTGCATCCCGAGCCAGCTGGGAAGAAGGCTCCTGAAGCCTCTGTGGTACCAAAGGAGGCTGAGAGGCAACTTTCGAAAAAGGAAAGGAAGAAGAAGGAACTTGCTGAACTTGATGCCCTTCTGGCTGATTTTGGAGTAAGCCAGAAAGACAGCAACAGTCAAGATGAGTCTCGTGGTAATATAATTTTTGTTGTTGTGAACCTTAAAGTGCTCTTTTTGCTTCCCTTATATTTGTCTTTCCGTGTTTGTTGATCTAAAATTTTGGACCTACTCCGCTACTTGCTCTTGTGAAAGTTTTGTTCTTTGCATACCTTACAAAAGGCTGGTGTGTTTATTTGGTCATTTACCAGTAATTGTGAGCAGATATGGGTATGGAACCTACTAATATCGAACCAAGTTGTGGCATTGTTAACACATTTTTTGTCTAACATTCAACTCTTCCTATTCAATGTGTTGATGGTTGTGATTTGTCCTGCTCCGGTCTCCTTCAATCTCATTGTTAATTACTCATACCATTGTACTTTTATGGATTGAATGTTTAAATCCCAAGCGACTTGTATAAAAATTGATGGGTTATTTACTAACAAAAGAGGTTTATAGACCATGTCTGA